TTAATATTCTTTCGTTTTTTATTATTATTATTATTCCATTTAGATTCCTCGACTAGTTTCGACCGAAATAGCCATCATCGGGAGGAGAAATATTTCTGCTTGCTGTTAGCAGTGAACTACAGAAATATATATATATATATATATATATATATATATATATATATATATGAAATTGTATAAAAATGAATAAAAGCACCTTGTCTGTCGCATTCAATAAAATGTGTATGAAAGAAGGTTTGCTGCCTAAATATATACACACACACACACACACACACACACACACACACACACATACATATATATATATATACATATATGCGTGCATGTATGTGTGTGTGCGCGTTGAAAATAAATGTGTGCTTAGTGACGATATATATCTTGGATTTTCTGATAACATAGTGGAAATAGAAAATTCGGCTGGAAGTTTCAATAGTAATTTTCTTATCACAGTGTACCTAAAAAATACCAAATTTATGAATAATATTACATGTTTTTTAAAAGTGCGGTTAACCTTATCTACAGATAATAGTCCACAATATGCAATATCAACTAAAGCCTAGCCTATCACATTAAACCGATCGGAGCAATACTGTCTTTCTTCTTGTATTTAGTGCCACCAGTTTAGAATGATAAACAGAGGCCCAACTTGATACATCCATAGCGTTGAATATTATTTATTACCTACGTATTCCATTAATGAGAAGTTTGTTCCGCTCAGGCTGCTTCATCCCAAAATGAGACTCCGATGTGGCGGCCAACCTGAACATTACAATGATAATCTTTTCAAATTTAGGTTCAGTCGTTATCTATCCTCCATATCGAGGAAGTCTAATGAAAAAAAAAAGAAAGAAATAATATGAAATTCATACTTACAATTAGAAAGCGAATGGAGAAATTTCTGTGACATAATATTAATAGATAGAAAAATTTCGTTAGCAACAAAGAGCGTTGAACTGTCGTGTCATATGTCATATGTAATCTCCTATATGGCAGTGACTGCTGTATTTAAGCGACAAAGACGTGGTTCTACAGAAGGATGCTGAGATTAACATAAAAAGGTGTTACAGAAAAAAAATTAACGAAATGGAAAAATAAAGGAACAAGCAAATAAATAAAACGAAAGAATAATATTAAAAGAAAATGAGTGGAAGTTATCAAATAACAGAATAAAGAAATCAGAGTTAAAATGAAGGGTTTTTACTAAAAATAAAATAATAAACGAACGGTGGAAATTGAGCCACATTTCCTCTGAGGAACTCAGCTCCGGTTTCTTCCCTGTTATCTGCAATCTTCAAAAATATAAATGCAATGCCAGGCGCCATCTTCTGTCTTCCTGAACCCTGTTCTTTTATTTTCTTTTTACTTACTAAAGTCTTCGCTCTCTTTCACTTCTAGTAAATCTTTGCGTCATAGTGTCATTATCGTTTTCACTGGGGATGAAGTAATTAAAAAGTATGTAGGGGGGAGAGTAAAAATCATGTACACAAAAAAGAAAGGAAAAATGAATGAAAAATCGGAATAGAAATAAAGTACAAAATAAATTATATCACAAGAAAAGAAAAAAAGAAAGAGTAACCAAAAAATGAATGAAGGACAAATAAAAAAAAAAAATTAAAAAAAATGAAATAAAGAAACAGAAATAAGAAATACTCTATGAAAACAAAACTCCTTCATTTACCAAAAATATGTTACTACAGAAGGATGCTGAGTACACCAAAAAGATTAAGAGAAACAGGAAAAAAATTCAGGGTCGCATAATGAGAAAAGCGAAGCTGGAAAATTTAATACCCAATGACTTACTGAAGACAATATTAGCGTGGTTGTGAATAATCAAGTTAAAGATTTTGTATAAATCCATCACAGATCATTAACAAAGAAAGATAGAAAATATTAATAAATTACTTAGCGAAGAAAGAACCGTATGGAGAACAGAAATCCTCCTCGACCTGAAAGAACAATGTATAAATTAAGAATATAGCTTAATTATTAGCAGTTTTGAAAGGGATTTTAATAGTTACAGATTTTTGCGAGAATCTGCTGAGTGATGTTGTGCGAAGTAGATTCCGTGTTTATTTCGGACATAAAGATGGCCTATCATAATGTATCTTTGGTGATAAATATCAATAAAAAGCAAAGAATTGATTGCTTTTCAGTAACCGCTATACTTATGATTCGCAGGACTGCGTCCGACCAGGATTGACTCTCCCAATATGCTGATATTTTCGTCAATTCGAGTAGATAAATGATGGACCGGATCTCGTGAATCAGAGATTGACATGTTTGTCGTCCTAAAATGCGCGCACCAACCATTTGGAGGCCTGCATTTATGTCTTTCGATATGCCTTATGCTTGAAAGTTTGCCTACACTGTCCCTGATTTAGCAGTATCGATCAAAGACAAACTTTCACAGAAATTATTTTCTCTCGTGTCTGTATCGATTAAACAATACCAAGCTAGGCAAACAGATAGATGGGGAATTAACCGGCAAACCCGTAATGAACGCGGAGAAAAATGGGCCCAATGTTCCACAACGAATGATCAGGTAGTAACTAACATCTGATTTCAACAACACCCGAGATTTTTATGGATATGGAGAGGCTCAAGAGGAGAAACGAAGAAAAAAAATCTATAAAACTAACAATAAGAGATTCCGGAATGCAGTTATACACTGCAAAATATATCCAAGTGCCATCCGTGGAAGCGATTATCGTCCATTTTTATTTAAACTTTGAGTGAAACTACGGAAATTGAAGCGGTTCAGGACACAAACCAAATTGCATGGATGATCCAAATGGGAATGAGAAATATATGGAGAGTATTAAAAAAAAATAGATAAAAACGGACAAAATGAGAATGAAAATACGGAGTGGGAGACATTAAGACAAGCAGTAGCAACATCAGCAACCGAGATCATCCGAAAGAAAATTAAACAAAGAAAAAAGAATGAATTTCTCGACGTGGTGAAAAGACGACAAAACCAATGCCAAGGTAGAGCACAGGATATAGAACTTTGCATAAAGACTTTAGCAATAAATGCAAGCAGGCTAAATATGAATGACATAACGAAAAATGGGCAAAAATAAAAAAAGAAGTATTGTAGACAAAGCAGATTTGCATAAAGAAATAAGAGATCACCGTGGGTTCATTAAAGTCACTAAGACAAGCAATACGATATTTATGCTTAGAATGACATCCGAAAGAGTAATGCCCAATGAGATATATCTATGTTTTATAGACTATGCAAAAGGCTTTGATAACATACGTCACAAAGAACTGTTGGAACATCTAGGTAACTGTACTGATAAATCATCAGTTACCTCCCCTTCAGATCTAGGAGGTTGTTACAGTTTTTTTGATCTATGTACTAGTGAGCCAACCAAAATGAGCTGACTCATTTTAGAGTCCACCAAGAGAAGGGTTAACCAATCAGAAAGATCATAATATTCACTCCGACGTGTATAAAAGCAGCCATTTTGTTTTTTCTCCAAAAATATCTTCACTTCCAACCTCTGATATCGAAGACCTAAAGAATTACTTAACAGCCGCTACTTTATCCGAATCTTCACTGCCAACCTCTGATATTGAACACATTACGTACTTCACTGGATTCTATATTCAAAGACTACGGCAAACATGGTCAACAGAGGTATAGTGATTTTCCAAGCGTAACTCAGACGTGGCACAAGGCTGAATGTATGGGGCGCCCTGTGAGGATCGAACTCACTACTCAGTCGTAATTGTTCTAGCGAGACAATCTTGCTAATCATTACACCACCTCAAGGTGCCCTTATTTCTTTACCCGCCCCCACGGAGACAGGTTTTAACAGGTCAGTTTTTAACGTGGAGACCCACATATAAACAGAGCATTTACTAAAATACTTGTATCTATAAAAAAAACGTTAAACATAAAAAATGTCTTTAAATATATATATATATATATATATATATATATATATATATATATATTGACCCTCATACGTCGAATTTCGACGGGAGAGTCGATATATATATATATATATATATATATATATATATATATTCAGGTAAATTTAATTTAAAAGAGGGCTCAATACAGGGTAGACCAATATTAATCATTTTATAATATTATATTCGCTTTGTTTAAATTTTACATAGGTCATATTTGATTGATTAATCAGAGTAAAGATCACAAACCTTATAACCACCTACATTTTTTTGTTTTTTCGTAAATAAAGGTTGTATTTTGCTTTTAAATCTATGTAAATCATTCTTACGCCAGTAATTTACAATCGCCTGATGAGATGCATTGTGTAACGATTTTTATATGTTTTTGGTGTAATATCCTAATATACATATATAATATATATATATATATATATATATATATATATATATATATATATATATATATATATATTATATATCATTCTCATATTTGCCAATGGAACATATTTTCTTCAATTGAGTCTATTTCAATTTTTTCCTATCTATCTATCTAACTCCAGGTCAGGCCGCAAGCCAAGATCTTTGATTACCTTTATTTTCGTATAAATTAATTTAAGGGAAAACTTAAAATCATGGCTCAGTCAAGTCGTAATTTCGTCTCACATTTCCTTTTTATAGAAACCTGTTTTTATCTCTTTATAAGACTTTTTCCTGAACAGTCTGATAATTTCAGAAAAAAATATTACAACTTAAAAATGGAATACTTTTCTTTCGAAACTTTATCAGAATATTTGTTCGTGATTGGAAAAAAGTTTTACATTACATTTAATAACAATTACTACAGTTAACAATTTTTCTCTGAACACACACACACACACACACACACATATATATATATATATATATATATATATATATATATATAAACAGAATGATAAATAAGTGTGTGAGTGAGAGAAAGATGTCAATATTGAAAGTTGAATTAAATTTATATTTGAGTGAAGTAGAAATTGATACAAGGGGGGAAACTGATGTGTTGAACTGCTAAAAATAGAGAGAAAAACAATGAAGTATAACTAGAAAAAATAAAGAAAGAAAGAAAGAAAATTATGAATGAAAGAAAGAAAGAAAGTAATGTAATAAAGAAAGAAACAAAGAAAGGAAGGGGAAGCAGGACAGAAAAAAAAAAAAGGAGAATGCAATAAATAATGAAAAAAAAAAAAAAAACAGAATGAGGAAGAAATAGTATAAATAAAAAATTCAGGAAAGAAACGGTAATGTTTTTGTTTTTGGAAAGAAAAAAATAGAAATGTAAAATGAAACATACAGATGTAAGTATGAGGACAAAAAGAAGATACATCAAAATTAAAACTGATAGAAAAAAGAAAATAAAGAAAAGGAATAATGAAAGTAAAGCAAGAACTTGCCTAAAGAAATTCACAGAGAAAAGAATAAAAAGAAAGAAAGAAAGAAAGAAAAGAAGAACAGAAAAAAGAAAGAAAGAACAGAATGAAAGAATTGAACGAAAGTACCAAAAGAGAGAAAGAACCGAAAGAAAGAAAGAAAGAAAGAAAGAAAGAATTGAACGAAAGTACCGAAAGAAAGAAAGAACCGAAAGAAAGAAAGAAAGAAAGAAAGAAAAGAAAGAAAGAAAGAATTGAACGAAAGTACCGAAAGAAAGAAAGAACCGAAATAAAGAAAGAAAGAAAGAAAGAAAGAAAGAAAAAAAAGAAAAAAAGAAAGAATTGAATGAAAGAACAGAAAGAAAGAAAGAACCGAAAGAAAGAAAGAAAGAAAGAAAGAAAGAATTGAACGAAAGAATCGAAAGAAAGAAAGAACCAAAAGAAAAACGAAAAGAAAGAAAAAAAAATTGAAAATAAAGAAAGAAAGAAAGAAAGAAAGAAAGAAAGAAAGAAAAAAGAAAAAAAAAAAAAAAAGAATTGAAATGAAAGAACAGAAAGAAAGAAAGAACCGAAAAAGAAAGAAAGAAAGAAAGAAAGAAAGAAAATTGAAACGAAAGAACCGAAAGAAAGAAAAAACCGAAGAAAGAAAAAAGATTGAAAGAAAGAACCAAAAAAAGAAAGAAAGAAAAGAAATTGAACGAAAGAAAGAAAGAAAGAAAAAGAAAAAAGAAAAATTGAAAGAAAAGAAAGAAAGAAAGAACCAAAAAAAAAGAAAGAAAAGAAAAGAAAAACAGAAAAAAAAAAGAAAGAAAAAAAAAAAAAAAAAAAAGAAAGAATTTGGAACGAAAGAACCGAAAGAAAGAAAGAACCGAAAGAAAGAAAGAAAGAAAGAATTGAACGAAAGTACCGAAAGAAAGAAAGAACCGAAAGAAAGAAAGAAAGAATTGAACGAAAGAACCAAAAGAAAGAAAGAACCGAAAGAAAGAAAGAAAGAAAAGAAAAAAAGAAAGAATTGAACGAAAAACCGAAAGAAAGAAAAGAACCGAAACAAAGAAAACAAAAGAAAAAACAAAGAAAAAAAAAAAAAAAGAAAAAAAGAAAGAAAGAAAAAAGAAAAAGAAAGAAAGAAAGAAAGAAAAAAGAAAGAAAAAGAAAGAAAGAAAAAAAGAAAAAAAAAAGAAAGAATTGAACGAAAGAACCGAAAGAAAGAAAGAACCAAAAGAAAGAAAGAAAGAAAGAAAGAAAAGAAAGAAAGAAAGAATTGAACGAAAGTACCGAAAGAAAGAAAGAACCGAAAGAAAGAAAGAAAGAAAGAAAGAAAAGAAAAAAAAGAAAGAATTGAACGAAAGAACCGAAAGAAAGAAAGAACCGAAAGAAAGAAAGAAAGAAAGAAAGAAAAGAAAAAATGAACGAAAAAAACCGAAAAGAAAGAAAGAACCGAAAGAAAGAATTGAAAGAAAGAACCGAAACAAAGAAAAAAAAGAAAAGAAAGAAAGAAACAAAGAAAAAAAAAAAAAAAAAAAAAAAAAAAAGAAAGAATTGAAACGAAAGAACCGAAAGAAAGAACCGAAAGAAAGAAAACCGAAAAGAAAGAAAAGTAAAAAAAGAAAGAAAAAGAAAAAAAAGAAAGAATTGAAAAGAAAGAAAGAAGAAAAGAAAGAAAGAAAGAAACCAAAAGAAAGAAAGAAAGAAAAAAAGAAAAAGAAAAAAAAAAGAAAAGAATTGAACGAAAGAAAAGAAAGAAAGAACCGAAAAAAGAAAGAAAAAAGAAAAAAGAAAGAATTGAACGAAAGAAAGAAAGAAAGAAAGAACCGAAAGAAAAAGAAAGAAAGAAAGAAAAAAAAAAAAGAATTGAACCGAAAAAGAAAAAGAACCGAAACAAAAAAGAAAGAAAGAAACAACAGAAAAAAAAGAAAGAAAGAAAGAAAAAAAAAAAAAAGAAAGAAAACGAAAGAACTGAAAGAAAGAAAGAACCGAAAGAAAGAAAAAAGAAAAAGAAAAAAAAAAACCGAAAAAATTGAACGAAAAACCGAAAGAAAGAAAGAACCAAAAAGAAAGAAGAAAGAAAAAAAGAAAAAAAGAAAGAATTGAACGAAAGAAAAGAAAGAAAGAAAAGAAATTGAAAGAAGAAAAGAAAAAAAGAAAAGAAAAGAAAGAAAGAAAAAGAAAAAGAAAGAAAAAAGAAAGAAAGAAAGAAAAGAAAAGAACAAAAGAAAAGAAAAGAAAGAAGAAAGAAAGAAAGAAAGAAAAAAGAAAGAAAAAAAAAAAGAAAGAATTGAACGAAAGAACCGAAAGAAAGAAAGAAAAGAACCGAAGAAAGAAAAGAAAGAAAAAGAAAGAAAGAAAACCGAAAAAAAGAAAAAAAGAAAAATTGAAAGAAAAAAGAAACTGAAAGAAAAGAAAGAAAACCGAAAGAAAGAAAAGAACCGAAAAAGAAAAGAAAAAAAAGAAAAAAGAAAGAAAAAGAATTGAACGAAAGAACCGAAAGAAAGAAAAACAGAAAGGAAGAACAGATAGAAAGAAAGAAAGAAAGAAAGAAAGAACAGAACAAAGAAATAAAGAATAGAAAGAAAGAACCGAAAGAAAGAAAAACAGGAAGAAAGAACAGAAAGAATAAAAGAAAGCATGGATGAAAGAAATAAAGTGTGAAAGAAAGAATAGTGGTATTAATGAAACGAAAAGCAGGCACAGAGTAAAAGAAAAAGAAGGTAAATTCAATGAAATATCGGAAGAGATATAAGGAAAAAAAATAAAGGAAGCTAAAGAGAAAAATAGGACGAAAGAAAGAAAAAAACGAAAGTGGAATGAAAAATAAATAGTGAACAAAAAGAAAAATGGAAAATATAAAAGGAACAGAGATAAGAAATACTCAATATAGAAAAAAAACAAATTTCGTTTAAAAAAAAAGAGAAAAAGAAAGAAACGAAATTTGCAGAACTAAAAATATAAGAAAATGACAAAAAAAAAATCTAGAAAAAAGAAACAAAAAATGAAAGATAATAAAGAAATGCAAGAAAAAATTTGAAACAAAGAATAAAAGAAACAGAGACAATTTCAGTTTGAATAATTCACCGAAAAATTCAAATTATTCAGCGTTAAAAGACAATAGTGAATTAGACGTGGAAAGACAAAATTAAAAAAAAAAAGAAGATATATCTGACATAAGTAAAGATAAATATACTGATAAACGAAGCGGAAAATGAAAACTATAAAATTGCTCATTGAATTTCATATTCGATGCGATATTTCATTGATATCATCTGAAATCGAAAAAAAAAAATGTAGGACTCCGATATCTTTTTATATTTGGATTTTTCTACAAATTAATTTTTCTAATTGAAATTTTATTCGTTTCACTTTCAGATAGACTTTCAGACTGCAATTTGCAACAAAAAAAAATAAAAAATAAAAAATAAAAATCTACGACAGATGGCGACAGATAAGTGTAGAATTATTCACAGTTGCTTTGGTGCGTTTTTCTCTATATTTTCAAAACGAGATAACGTCGGTCTTGTAGAACGTGTCTGTAATTACTTTAACTCAGTCAAACGAATATCATAATACTATAGATATACTGTGTGATTATGACACTACTGAATCTGTTCTGAAGTATGCTTCAGTCAGCACTAATAAACTTAGGTCTGTCTCTCACATGGCTAGAATTAATGGTGCAACAATACTGGACAATTTTCTTACAGATAAACAAAGATTTAGGACAGAAATTCAACTCTCTTGGAAATACATAACAGCCAATTAAAATGTGGCGCAGGAATCCAAAGGCCCATTTGAATAGCAAAATATAACTTCCACATCAAAACATAAAGAAGGGTGTGGCTTTTTTCTAGTTGGGGTGGATGCAGATGAGTAGCCAACACAGTCACTATACCTAGCCTTAAACTTTTACTTGTGAGGGCGTACCGAAAGATCTAGTTTATAGGATCAAACCGAAAACATCCCTGAATTAAAACAAGCAATTTCTGATACCTTATCAGAAATCAATGGACGAATATGTCAAATAGTTTGAAGAACCTGTCTATATTTCTGAGATGAGATATTATGTACACTATTTAAATTATTTGGAAAAATTGTCCTCATCTTTGATGCCATATTTATCACTACGTTTCGGCCGTTGTACGCTCCGGCCTTCTTCAGATGGTTGGCATATCAAACTGAACACTTTATTTAATTTTTAATTAGGCTAGTTTTAGGTTTGTTTTTGAATCTGTAGTTTCTTTTTTCAGTTTACGTAGCTAGGGTATGTATGCTCATCGCCCCACCTTTTATTTCCGTCCCTAATTTTCTTTAGTTTAATTCCCCATCCCCCCCCCTCGTTAGGTGGTCAGTGATGTCAGTTCTCTGGTAGATGCGGGGTGCCTTTCATTTTGCGTGTATGTTTTCGTATTTGTTGTTGTGTCTGAATGAGTCTGTGTCTGTGTGAGTGCTTGGGATGAATGAATGTTTTATACTACTATAACCCCGCATCGATTTCGTCCAGTTAACTGATGTTTCTGCCACATTTTAGAATTGTGTTTTTTTTTTATTACTAACATTATTTTGTTTAGTTTCTTGTAAATATCTTTGTTGCATATTGTACATCCTCATTGGGGATTTTTTTAAATTGTTGTTTTATTCCCCTCTTCCCACAGACGATGAATTGTACATATGAGGATTAT